CACGACGCTCTTCCGATCTCCCCAAAACCCCAAAACCCCTTATATCAAATCGTATGCATAATTTAATGAACTTATAAATTTTAAATCTCTAGTTTGATTTGGATAATTTATTAGTAAATTAAAATCAAATGGATAGTGTAAGTAACAGTAAATCCAAATAGGATCAATTCTTTTCTAAAGATGATCCATCAATTAGGAGATTCCTGCAAATTTCAACTCACAATGACGGCTATAATGACATCGACCTAAATTTTCCAAACAGCCAAAAATCAGGGGGCTCTCATTTGATGCCTTATTCAAAGAAATTTGAGCACATTATAGCCATACCTGGCGAGGAACGGTAGTTTTTAAGAGATGATGTTAAGCCATTGACTATGGAGACGAGAAAGCTGAAATCGTCACAGATTAAATCAGCAACTCCGTCCAATATAGTAAGCCCAACCTCCATGGTAGATAAACCGTAATCTACAAAAGAAGGACTGCTTATTAGAAACCAATTTAAATTACCGGTAGTTTTGCAACAAACAGAAAATTTGCAGAGCTTTATTTACTAACTTGAGGCACTAAAGGCTAAAATGAGCGCCTTTGACGACTATCTGATTGAATCTAGGCAATTTATGAGAAGCACCGATTATCTTTCTTAAGAAGAATTCTAGGTGCATATTTAATCTATCCTCAAAGAAGTTTAGCTTTAGGTTGAGAATAAAATGGAAAATGTATTTATAAAGCTAAAGGGCAGAGTAGATGAAAAATCTAATAAAGAAGAGGTTGATAAAACTCTGAGAATGAAAGCTAATAGTTCTGAGGTCAAATGACAACTACAGCATTTGGAGGAAAAAATACTCTAAGTGCAGTATGACATTCATCATCATAATGAAATGTATTATGGAAACATAACTGACAAATTTGAATAAAGAGAGGTTATTTTAAAGGAAATTATGACAAAACTATTAGACAAATGCGATAACACCAAAATGCATGAGGTGCTTGTAAGAATAAATAAAATGGAATCTATGCTAGGTATTGATGATCTGTCAACAGATAAGAGCATTGAGTCCTATTCTGAGGGAAACTATGAGGAAAAAGAATTATCAGAAATTGTTCTGACAGATATCAATGCTACTAATGCCAAAGTCAATCCTACAACAACTACTTCTCTGCCTGCCTAGACAAATGAAAACACTTAGGTTGTAAATAGTAACTCTTCAGATAATAACAAGGATAACGAAACTATAAATAATCAAATTTCTTCTCCTAATAACATGAATAAAGGCGCAGACATTAAAGTAGATTTACTCTCAAAGTAGACCAACCCTCTCTAGGAATCTAAATAACCTTCTGAAAAAATCTTGCCATTGAAGAAGGCCCACAGAATTGAAAGAATTATGGCTCCTTTCAGTAACTCATTTGTTGTTGAGACTAACTATAATCACCAACTGACTTTGATGCAAAAGCAAAGTGACGAAATTACCATGGTGAACCTAAAGAAAGATGATATCTAACTAGATGATTAAGTAAGCCATTAAGTGGAGTAGGTTATTAGTTTTAAGATCCAAGAAACATAGTAGGATGACGATCCACTACAGCAGCATCAGTTTGAAATATTATCGCCTAAAATCAAGGACTCTAGGCATTCTTCTAAAAGGAGCTCTAAAATTGGAAATATATTAAAGCAGGAATCATCGTAGGTATCAACTAAGAAGCATAATAAGACTGAAATGAAAACTCCAAATTTCAAAGAGAAATTACTACTAGCAACATAAGACCCAATTGTTGATTACAAGAAGACCACAAGTCAGCACGAACTAGAACTCACAAAAAGGGACACTCAAATTTCTAAGACTCATTTAAATGTTGGAATAGGATTCGAAAGAACTACTAAAAATGGTGATGGTCCGTTTAAAAAAAAGAGCAGTTTTGCACATTAAAATACATCATTTGATCAGTACTACTAAGAAATGGCTTTGAAGCAACAGTCAACTCAGGATGATGAAGGGCTGCTGAAGAAGTCAAGTCAGGTCTCTAAGTCTAATGAAGATGGTAAAATGTCTCAGAACTCCCAAGGCTCCCCTAGATTTGCAGGTATGCTTAAGAAATAACAAGTTGCTCTCAAGAAATACTTTGATGAGAAGTTCAGAGAACTCAAAATTAGTGGCGGGGAAGAAAGATTTGCTTAATTTGAAATAAATATCAAAACAACTTTAGAAAAACTAAAAGAACTTGAACAGCAGAACAATGAGCAGAATGAAAGCATAAAACAGATGAAGAAGAATTTCGACATCATTACTGTGCATAAGAAATACTTCGACGCTTTAGTAGCTAAGCCTGTCGCTTATGTGGATAAAATCAAGCAATAACTTGTAGAGCAAATCGACCAGTTAAGTCAAAAGTTAGACACTGAAATAAAGATGAAATTCAGTAGAATGGTAGAAATATCGAGTGAAACCTCCAAGATGAATCATAAGTCTGAGTTAAAACTGCAAAAAATGGAAAAATATCTGTAGATTATCAATGGTGAAAGAGTTGACATCAATAATATGAAAAATCTAATGGAAGATGTCCTTAAACACAGTGAGGAATAAAAAAGGGACTTAGTGAGTATTAAGAGTTATGTCATGGAAGCGAAATTAAATCAAACAGTCCTATTCGGTAATAAACAAGTTCAAGAAAACAAGGGGTTGTTTCAGTAGAACATAACGAATATCATTAATAGTAGGAAGGACCCAGCAGATAGAGAGATTGATGGGCTTTAGAAATAAATAGAAGGCTATCAAAGAGAATTAAATGTATGCCAGAAGTAGAATAGGGAGATATTGGCAGACTATATGAGACTATTGGATGAGAAGAAATCTTTGATGAAATTAAGCATACCGCAAAATATAATCTCATCATCTGAGATGAACTCATTCATGGAGGATACATTTAACAAAAACAACATTAGTTAGAGCAGATCTCACAATATGTATAAATCTGTTTAGAGTCACAACCCACTTGCAAGAAAGGATTCGAATAGCTTTAATGCAAATACTAGCAGGATAAACACTAACAATGTGTCTATGACTATGTAGAGCACCTCTAGATAAGTTAAGAAGAATTATACCAATCATTTATCCCAAGAAAAACCAATCATTGATGAGGAGAAATTACACAATGAGACTTCAAGGTGTCAAGCAAAGTCGAACATGTCATTTAACTCAAGTTCTTAGATGAAGATACCTTAACTCAAAGAAATAGAAAAGCTCAAAGACTAGGTGAGCAAGCGCAAAAGCAACTTAAAGAAACGAGAAAAATCAAGCTAGAAATCCTTCTATGAATTCACCCAGCGAAGCAGTGTGATTAAATCCCCAAAAGCTAGGTCTCCCTCAATGCAAACTAAGCACCACGTGATGTTCAATCAGACTTAACTAGGGTTCAAAAATAATGCTGAATCATCAAACCTGCTGCCAAAGATTGGCAGCAGTCAAAATAAAGCAAGTTCGCCCAAGGTCATGAACTCTAGGGAGCGAATGAGCAAAAAGAACTCATCTTCACTGAGCATAGCGCCTGCATAAACACCCTCATTGCTTCAAAAAGCTTAAGCCTTGTAGAATGCTAATGGTTCCCAGCACAATATTCAAGCCTCGAGTAAAAATATGAGTAATCAGGCAAAGGGAAGGCAATCATAGCATTCAAGGTCTAGTGAGGAATCTTAAAGTGAAACAAGCAGCGTAAGTCAATCTAGAGACATTAAGTATTCTATAATCGATGAAGACTCTATTTCTTAGTCATCTGATCATATACAGAATGGGCTCTTCTTGAAAAGGGTTGACTAATCAGTATCAAACATGTCAGCTGTAACGAGTCACAGAGATGGTGTAAGCCATCACAATAAAGAAATATCAGTGTCTCGAAGAGTTTCCTCTCAATTTATTAACCACCATCTTGTTAAAAAGGATAATCATAGTTGAGCAATAGATAGCAAAAATCAATATTAGCGAAGAGTCCTATAAATCAAAATTTGTCAGACTTTAATTTTATAATATAAAATCAGAATTTCTTTTAATTTCATGATTTTAGTCTGTAATTATCTATTTTGTCTAGAGGGGTTTTGGGGTTTTGGGGTTTTGGGG